CAGCAGGAGGGAATTTTTATACCAGATGATGTATAGTGAAAAGAACTCGGTATATTCATTTCTGGATCACAGTAAGATTTATCTTGTCTTGAAGAATAGCTATTGGAGGTAAACAGTTTAGCACATGCTCACCGGAACATAATGACTTGAAGACTTAGTTTGTATTTTCCTCTCAATATCAGAGTCTTGACTTTATTTACTTACAGCTCTCACAGTATGGGGTATTCTCAAATCAGAGTTAAAAATACATTTTCTGTTCATTGATCTTCCATCACTGTGTTAAGGGTCTTAGGAAAGGTAAAGCAAGTTTCATATAAAGATACTTGCTAGGTAAGACTATAGTCCTCACTGGGTAACCATCTAATGCTGTGTGTCTGTTACACAATCTCTTGCCAAATACTGACTTTTTCCTTAGGGAAAAATGAGCTGTATAACGTAGTGTCTTCTCTTCTTTCTGAAAGTTTCATTTAAAAAATGATACTACTCCTTTTTCCAGAGTCATGCTGAGGGCAAAAATCTTAGTAATGGATATTTGGACCTTAGAAGGATTGAAACTAGGAATATTTACCTGCTTCACTGAAAGTTATGTTTTCAGGCAATTAGATCTAGAGTCTTAATTTATCCTGAATGTGTGTGTGGACCACATAAGGGCCTATTCACATGAAAAACAGGTTTTGCTTTAATCAGTAATAAGCTTCATACTCTATAGTGGAAAAACGTAAATTTTGTAAACACAGTGAACACACTCTTATTAACATGGGAAATTAAAATGGGAGTGTACTAACCTTGGAAGTTATCAAAACCTTTAGTGTTGAGGTTTTTTTTTCGTTCTCTTGTTATTTACTAACTGGTTTGGTCCTACCCCATGCAGACAGCCTGTGTTACCAACTGTCAGAGATGTCTAGACCTTATTCCTTGAAGTAAAGGTTTTCAGTGCACACAGGTATAATTTTCCCTGTTTCTGCACCTTTTAAGTGAACTCAGTAGTTCTGAAGAGACTTAAACTGGACATGTGACTGTCAGCATGTATGCAGTTACACATACTGCTGCTTAAGTAAGCCTAGTGAAGTTCAAAACATTAATTTAAAAGTTTAGAGATGATTTTAAGTCTTTAAACAGGGAGAGATAAGGCACATTAATTCATAAAACTTACCAGTCAAGTAAATTGGCCCTGAGGGTTGCTTTAGACAGTCTTTGTCGTGCTTTACAAATCATAAAACATTTCTCTTCCTCCTTCCCCGCCTTGTTTCTACTACAGTATTTATGAAACTTGCTGGAATCATAATTGTGAATGAATAGGTAAGGCTTTATAAAAATACTTTAGTTGTGCTGCACTGATGAAAATGCTCAGCCAAAATTTTAAATTAATTAATTAGAATTAATGGAAGTAGTAGGGGCGCATCATCTTCAGTCAAAAGTTTGCATCTTTCAAAATATAAATAATCTGAAAACAATTAGTTACTCAGTTTGAAGCTCAAACAAAATGAGGTAAAGGTTTTGAATAAGTTCTGGTTGCATAGAAACAAAACTACTGTTGGTAAATTTCGTAGTGTTTTCATTCAGTAAACACTGACCATCTAAAATGAGCAGGCTGTAAATGTCATGAGGGGCTAACTTTTGACTTACTGTAATAATCTGTACCTTTTTTTTATTTGTTTCTCCCCGCCCCTCCCTTAAATGAGCTATTACCAGCTTCCACAATCAAGAAAATGTTTTGTGTGACCTAAACTCCATGCTTTCACTGATCTCAGTTGGAATGTTGTGGAGCCACACAGCCCAGAGTTGCTGCTGTGGTAGGTGGAGCTCTAACAAATTCCAGTACAGTTGAAGCATGCTCAGAGCAGGGATATCTACTCAGCTTTGAAGACTGCAGTAGACTGAAGAAAATTACAATGACCTTGTTCTTTTTGCTGACAGCGACCATGTGCTCTTACAATGACTTACCTAGTCACCCCATAATAGCTGGATGGAATATTCGTGCTTTTGCTTTCCCATCAAATGAGTTACAAACAGAGGAAAATAATCTGGAAAAGATATGGGTGATCGTATATTTAAAGAAACATGAAAGGCCTAGACACTCAGTTTTTCTAATTAGTTTGTTTACATCTACCTATAGGACTTCCAATTATAAACTACATTGTCTCATCGTTACTGCAGCGATATTGCAATTCCCTAGCTCATAAGAATATTTCAAAGATAAGTTTAAAAATGGAAGTTACGAGTCAGCTATTAGGTCATGATGGAGATGCAAGCATGTCTGAGAAAACAACTTCATTTAGATGTGATTAAGTAGTTGATACTGCTTTTATAAAATGTAGGCAGGTTAATTTCATGTTGCTTTTTCCCTGCCCTGTCCCACATTCTTTTCTCTCTCTAGTTATTAAAATGGCTGTTAGATAATAAAAAGGAAAAAGCTAGATGCTCCTTAAGGGGATATTGGTTATAATATAAAGAAACATTTTTTGAAGTCTGCTGTCACTGTCCTGACCCTGACAGTGTCATGCTAAACTAATAAAAACTACTATTTTTCAAGCGAAGATTTTCCTGAGTCCTTGTATCTATATGTGTATCTCATCTGAAAAACAAATATATACTCTTTGCCCATAGGTAATTTTTTTCCCCTTGCTGTTCCTGATGGGCAGCATGCCAAGGTTCAGAAATGGAAGGCTAATTCTAAACACAAAGGCTCCATGTTTGCTGTTGTCCAGTAGCGATAGGTATAGCAGACGCTCTGGGTAAAAGTTCTGTGTGCATCTTTCTAGCTCTGATGATGGAGAAAACACCCTTTAGCAATCCTGTTCCAGTATCAGCATGTTCTGACAGTGGTACAAATTCTGGTACTGAAAGTATCCAGTATATTTCTGTCTCTCTTTTTTTCCCCCCCCCCCCCCCCCCCCTTTTTTTTTGTCTTCTCCAGACTTTGAACAATATCTTCTTTCACTTCTGATATGTTACTGAAGCACCGCAGTTTCCTCTTACGGACCATCAATGCATAAGCAAATTGCCAAGCTGTAACGTGGTCAGCATAATGGTTGTGCATGTATTTGAAAGTACTGGTGCTGGTCATCTTGAGGAAGCTGTGAGCCATTGAGGACTTGCTGTTTGAAACTTGGATCTGTTCCGTAGATGTTTGGTGCTCCCAAAATATTCCGTTACCTACCCTGTGCACTCTGGCAGTTGGTGTTTGTCTGTGTAGCAAGAGATGCTGTCCTTAGCACAAAGACAAGGCACACATCATCTTGCAGTATGTACAGAGAAATTCCAAAGATACGAGAAATATTCTAAGATAGAAAATGGATGCCAGACGATTCTGGCAGTTTGTGTTTTTCTCCTCTGCACGTACGGTTCTTGGGACAATCAAATCTGTATTAATGATAGTTCAGAGAACAGAGTCTTTGAAATCACCTTTACCCTGTGCTACCAGGTTGGGCTTGCTGTGATAAATGAACCGAGTTGTCCTATGCTGTAATCTCAGATACTGGTCGGCTTACTTGCTTGTATCTCCCTGCTCATCTCACTAAACTCTTCAGGGATAAGGAGTCTCTGGCTAATAGAACTAGGTGGTTTGGCTAGACTCGGGGCGAAACTCACTTTGTGTTTGGAGTAGGCAGGGAGAGAATGGGTTCATCTTTATACATGAGAGATCACTAATACTGAGTCTGGATTGATGTTACTTGTTTCTGTCATGTTCCTTTTGCTTGTCTTGCAGACTATGTGATCTGCTGTTAGTTCCTTTAGGTTGAGAGAAAGACATCTGAGATTCATCCAGCCATTTTTGTTGCAAGGTTTTGTGCTTCTGGCCATGCGTAGTCTGTTTTCATTACAAATGTGGTATGGTGCCACCTGCACTTTTAATGAATGTCTGGCTGATTAGCTTGTAGCAGAGACTGCGATAACTCAAGATTATATCCTTTCTGATTTTTATTTTCTGAATTTGTGAAGTAATTTCTCTTGCTGGCACAGGTCGGAAGATCTGTAATCAGTTCTGTTTTCTCAAAAATCAAACTCCAGTGGTCAGATAATGAGCTTTTTGAACAATGATAAGTTTGAGGCCAGAGTGTTTTGCTTGGAGTTACTTGGCTGCATGTTGGGCCTGTGGACTTAGTAATGAATATTGTTGTTTCCTGCGGTGCCTAAACAATGACCTTAGCCTTAAGCATAACAAATGACTTTCAGTCCCATGTCAGTCCTATGAAAACTTGCTCTGTGTAGATGCAGTGAATGTATAAAAAGAGCTGTTTGGTTTTTCTTTTCCTGTTCTTGTTCACCATTCCTCTTACACGTACTGCTGTCATTGGTGTCTTGGTTCAGGTCACAGTATTTAGCTCTGCCACTTGTAGGTGCAGGAATCCTTTTCCTGAGATAGCTGGATGACCTAGAGCTCTGTCACTAAACTTATTTCTTGACAGTTCCTTCCCAAATCCACTGTTCACATACTGACAACTAATGTGTTGATAAGTTATGTGAACAAGCAGGCACTTTGTTATGATGCCTTGATAAGAAAAAACATTGAGTCCTGTGGTGATTGTCTGTCTTTGGGAACCACACTAGCTTTGCATGTTCTAGGTCCCAGCAATGCTCTTACAGCAGTGCTTCTTGAATAAATATAATAGAATAGAATGAAGATGTTGACTAGCTCCTGCTACAATCAATTTTCAACTTGGTATTCCAGTTGGTGTTTGTCATGTTTGTTTGCTTCAAAAAAGGGCATACTGAATAATTGAGACTTTTGCCAAAGTGGCAGAGTGCCTCCTTTCTTTGTCTCAAGACATTTTTTTGATTCCTCTGAATCTGGAATAGCCTAAAAAATACTGGCTATGTCTTTCATAATCCCAGTTCATTCTGCAAGTATGAGAATGTTAAGTTATCAGGATTGTTTTTTAAAAATAATTATTCCAATTCTTAACTTATACCTTCTGGCTTAGTTGTTTACTTACTGGGCAGTGCAGTCAGCCTGTTCCTTTGCAACTTCAGTAAAGCTTGTATAAAGTAGGTAATTCAAATAGAAAAAAGTTTTTCAAACTGAAAATGAAAAAAAAAAAACTGACAAATTGTGGGTATATGAATATATGTGTTTCTGAGACATGTATGGCTGGTGTTATTCTGCAGTGTTTCAGTTTGTTGCAGATCACTGGGTTTCAGTACAATGTTAATTTTTCTTTCCATCTTGAAAAAGCCTCATTTGTATTTGTCTTCCAATTAGCAATTTATCATTTTGCTCTGACTAGTATTACTTTTCTAATGATTAGTTGCTTTAAAGGAACTATGACAATAAACATGAAGTAGTTCTTTGAATTACTGTCAGAATGATCTATGTGCCGTTAACATCTAGCTACAGTTCCTCATAGCTGATAGCTGAGCTAGGTGGAGAATAGTGGGATCAGTGTACTCAGAGCTTGTAAGTATAGACATCTTTTACATGTCTTTCTAGCAGTACAAAATGGGGATGAAATCAACTCCAGATTAATTTAATCAGGTTGTTTCAGAATTCTCCTCGAACCAGTTAGGCACTTTGTGGTCCTCGTCCAGCAGGGTTTGACAGTGTAAGAGGAAGGGCTGCATACTTGGAACACTTAGAGAGTCTTTTTTGGCTACCTCCTCTAGTCTAAGCCATTTGTTGCTCAGCTCTTTTCAGCCTTTATGAGCCCAAGCTACTGCAGAGTGGTGGAAATGGATCAGAGAATGCATATGCAGCAGTGAACAACTACTTGGACTGCTGAATCTCTTTCCTTGAACAGGCACAAGTGGTATTGTCTCTATTTCAGAAAAGTCTACACAGGGTAGAGGAGCTCATCAACTTCTGCTATGCTTACCGTGCTTTAGGTGTTTCAGATACTAAATTCAGGAGACTGGTATTTCTGTGTTGTTTCCTGAATGTAGTTAAAATTCCTTATGCCCCTTGTCGAAGGAGAGCATTACCTTGCCAGTCAAATCTGGGGGGAAGAGGCACTATGGATGTAACTTTTCAGGTAACTATTTACCCCATGATGAATGAGATTCTTTGAGTTGTTGTCCATGCGGACTTGTAACCTGTCCTCTGTGGTTCTTTTGTGTTACAACTTACTGGCTTTAGAATAATGTGAGTGTGGGTCATGTCTGTTTTGGCCTTTATGCCTTCTATAGGATTTTTTTTGAGGAGGCAAAAAGAGTATGTGCAGTTCTCCTTAGTTAATAATTCAAAGTGCATGAAGTATGTGTGCACCTACAGGTAGGACCTGTGTTGACGGTGACATGGAATTACTTTGGGTTTAGACCCACAGCCAAGTTGCAGCCCATCAGTTGATTGTGGTGTGCAAAAGTCTTGCTTGAACTTCCACAGAGCAGTTTGGGATTGAATTTGAACTGGTCTGTATTTGTTGTAAGGAAAGTTTACATACATGAAAAACAACTGTGAATCAGTTGAAGTGTGACAGACTGAGCAACGCAGTATTTAGATTCAGTGATTCTTAGTCTGTTATGCAGTGTCCCAGATGACTGGATATGAGGACAGAATGTTGGGTAAACTGGTTCATGAAAGGAACAACGTTACTGCTTATGGTGGCTGTTGACTAAAATATTGCTTTAAAAAAATTGATGAATTAATTACTTGTTTCTCTTTCTTTAAGTATGTATAGAAAATATGATTCGACTAGAATAAAAGCAGAGGAAGAAATCTTTTCAAGTAAGAGATGCTTAGAATGGTTCTATGAATATGCAGGTAAGGGTGAAATGAAAATTTCCTCCTAATAACAGTTTAATCTACCTTGGAATATAAAAATTGCATTAACTGGGCTTTTCTAATCTGAATGTAGAGGCTTTTTTGTAAAAGTCTTAAAGAAGCTTTTCTTATGTTCTGTGTAGTGTGAAGTTGAAAAGTTCAAAGGGCAGTTTTGTCTTTGTCTCTATTCTATAAAAAGAATACAGAAGGTGTGTAACCTAAAATATTTCAGAACATGTATACTTTACTATTCAAATCTATAGTTAAAACTGTACTTCTGCCCAAAATGCTGTTACCTCTCTGGCTTTAGAAGTTCTGTCATCTGCCATGTTAGTGCTGAATAGTACAGAATTACGCTTCAGGAGAAGTGTGTCTTTAAAAAAAAAAAAAAAGATAGGGGAGGTAGTAACATCAGTTTTGTTTCTGCTGAATCTGGTTCTTAAGGTTTCAAGCAAAGAAGTTAATAAATTCAAGTATGCCATTCTAGTCCTGTCTTTGTATCGTTTTCCGTCATAAGGTATAGGGAAGGTAGACTGAATTTTTTATTCTTGCCCTCGTGTATGAGAACTCTTTTCAGGCATTACTTCTAGAATTGTCAGTTATGATCTGCAGTCACAAAAGATGATTCTTTAATAGTGAATTTGATCACTATATTCATTTTTTTACATGTGGTTTTCTGAAGGGGTGAACTTGAAGTATGGGGAAGAATGATCTCATGACTGTAAAGACCAAAAGGAAATTAAATAGGTGATTGACAAAGAAAATAAGGTCATCTTATGCTGTCTTGGATAACATTGCTCACAACTTGTTCTGTTTTGTCTACTTCTTTTGCATAATGAAAAGTGACTTAATTTGATGTAGTAAAATATTTTTTTCTTCTAATAAAATTATATAAGCTAGATTAAATACTTTGAGATCTCACCTGTCTGTGGCAGTCTGTGAGAGGAGATTCGGACAAATTCAAGCCAAATCTAACCTGTTAGATTCTCTGCATTTCTGACCAGCTTGATTTATTTTTTTACTCTAGCAACAGAGGTAACTCATTCTTGTCAAGACTTTCATGGAAAGAAGGGATGAAAGGAAGGCTGTATATGAAATAACTTTTGGGTTTCCATTGGATGCAAACACCAAGATATAACAGAGAAAAGCGGAGAGTATGATTCTGTTTACAGTATTAACATTCTAAAAAATTAATTTTCAAAGAATAATCTCTTTTGTGTTCTTGCTTTACCTCCTAAGTCGTTTTTATATATGCAGACAGTTGACACTGCATTTGGTTTTTTTACTAGTGTGTCTTTACATTATAGAATGGGTCTTTTTAAAGACTGTTGTGTAGACTCTGAACTCTGAGAGGATGCCATGAGAAGATGGGAAAAGATATAATTAAACCTTGTTATTTCTAGAATAGTAGGTCACCTAGTAATAAAACTTGGATGGATCTTCCCTTTATAAAACCTCTTTTTCTTGCACGTGTGATCTTTGTGTTGGATGAAAGTAGGCATTTCAGCCTCTAGTGTTTTTTTTCCCAAATGAGCCCTTTTGAACATGAGTAAAATAATTCTAACAAAATAGTCCAAATACTTAAAATCTATTAAAAAACCCCAAAATTGTACAGTACAATTCTTAATGCCTATATAATTTTTGCAATAGAGTATTGTAGAAGTTACAAATATTGTGATTTAATAGCATGTTTTAATAGTAGTGCATTTTAAAAGCATCTGTATTTTGAATCTCTTTTTCCTTTTAAGTCAGTAAAGAAATAGCTGTAATTCATGTCTTCCGTCCCCCTACAGTTACTAAAATTCAGTTAATGTGTGGCCATAGTATAGTAATATGAATAAACAGGAGCATGAGATTCTTATTTTAGGCTCTTTTTTGTAGATAACATTATATAAAGATAGTATATGAGATAATAAGGAAAGCGATTCTGGTAATACTGTCCTGCATCACATTTTTATGCAATATGATCTTACGGTAACAGTAGAGATTCAAGCCAAGAAATCCACTATCTATCATCCACACATTTAACTGTGGTAATATTATGTGGATGTTCTGCTAGTCTTAAGTGCATTCTTAAAGATCTTACTAATTTACTCTTCCAAGATTATCTCAATGGGTAGCATAAAGGATATTGTCAGGAATGAAAAGTTGGTTTACAATTTTTATGTCTCTGTTTCCAAAGGTGAGATAAAGATTTAAGCGTATCCTATCCAAGTCTCGTACTAAGTGTGGAAATATTTATTGCATGTTAAAACAAACAAAGGAAAAACTGTATGGAAGTTCAGGTTGTACTGGGAGATTGCACTTTCTCTTGTGCTGTAAAGGTCAGACTATTTTAATTTTCAGAGATAAGTAAAATGCATTTTGCTTGCAGGCACTGATGACATTGTAGGGCCAGAAGGTATGGAGAAATTTTGTGAAGACATTGGAGTTGAACCAGAAAATGTAAGTTCAAAGTCCATTCAAAATATGCCTAATCTGTTATGACGTACATGAGCCAGTCTTCTATATCTTATTTTTCTGTCAAGAATTAAAAAAATCTCGAGAGTGTTTAAAAAAATTAAATTTAAACCAGGGAGGTTTATATACACATTTGGAAAAAAAAAATACCTTTATTTTAAACCTCAGACTGTCAACATGTAAAACTCATTGTCTTTGTTACCACCTCTTCTCTTTCACTTTCCCACCCCCACAAAAAAGAGATTTTTAAAAAAAAAAAAGGCAAAAAAAAAGGCAAGCTGCTGGTTATCTTTTCTAAAACAATGAGACAACACTGGAGATTTAATGTAGCAACTACAAAACTAGAAAGTGCTGTTTTCTTCGGGTTTCCTAGGAGAGAACGGGATTTCAAATATTGTAAGCAGTATTAGCACTCCCATAATGCCATTTCAAAACACAAATAATGAATCTATATGATATTATATATATGTATGTATATATAGAAGTAAATAAAATTTAAAAAGGAGTAGTTGTACCTTTTACAGGCTTTTTCCTAGTCCTAATTTTTGTTCTTTAAATGTATATGCAAGTCGCATCTGTTGCGGGGTTCATAAAGGATCATCTCTGACTAAGTAAAATGAGAATTGTGGTTTTGAAAGATTTACTGGAAATAGAAGATGTAATTTGCTAATTTTGGAGTTATAATAAACCCTCAAGATTTATGCAGACAATTGGGTGTGTAAGTAGGTGTTCTGATTTCGCATTGAAAACTGTATAGAGCTGCACTAACATTAGCTAGTCAATGGCTGAGTTGCAAATTTAGTTGACTTGATTAATTTTTATTTCTGATCTGCAGGGTCAGTTGTCCTGCAAGTTTTTCCATGTATATATCAAAAGTGGTTTCTTAAGTTCCTGAATAAGATAGTAATCTTATGTTATCACTTTATCTACATTCTTTATTGCTTCAGTCTTCTGTGTGAGATGTGAAAAGGACTCTGTTTCCTTTTGGGCAAAACTGAACTATTTATATATCAGCCTCTGTTTTGATGTGTGTTAATGTTCGTTCACCTAGCTTTACTTTACATCCACTTGAATTACACTACATGTTCAGACCTGCAAAATTAGGTAGGCTGACGGTACCCTGGGGTAGCTGGATTCAGGTAGGATCATTATTAGCTTTAGAATAATTGGATTTCACAGAGGTAATGGATTGCAACTGATGTTCATCTAGATGAGAGTTTAACAGGTGTCAAATGTAACTTGTCATCAGTTTGGTATATAGTTTTGTACATATACAGATCTGTGTATGTATATATAGTTTTGTATAATTCTGTAGTTGTTTTGGGAAACCATTTCTGTAGCTTTTGCACCAACTCATCTTCCTCATTGCACTGCTCACTAGATGACTGTGTGTGCTCCCTTGAAGTAAGGTGGCTACTGGTAAGTTGGGTGGATGTTCACTCTCTATCTTTGCGCTGGTATCTTCTCTTTGTTTGGATTATGTACAGGTTTGTCACTTTCCATTTTTTTAACTTTTAAAATAGCGTAGCAAATATCTGAACATCCCATTTATACGAGTAAAGCATTTATAGCCTGCTAAACAGTAGTTATTTGAAAAATGTGTGGATCCTTTTGTTAATTCTTTACAGTCTTCATTTTTTTCCCCTCTTTAAAACAGGTAGTTATGCTTGTACTAGCATGGAAGTTGGATGCACAAAACATGGGCTACTTTACTTTACAAGAATGGTTAAAAGGAATGACATCACTACAGTGAGTGCTTTGAAAAACCTCTTAAGTTTGTTATAGTAAACCCAGTCTTCTGGAAAAAAAACACACTTTGCTTTAGGTGTTATAAGTCAAAACATCAGAGAGCTCTACTGTGGAGTAGAAGCCATACGTTTTTGGTCCCATTTATGGTAATATGGCCACTTAGAGGCAACTTGAAACCTGACAGCTGCACATTTAAATACAGTTGTATTACAATGTCTGCTGTCTCAAGAAAACAGGAACGTCATGAGGTTTGGCATTGTTTCTGTCCCCAGGAACATCTATCTTTGTCACTGGATTGGACCTATCTATTAGATATTGATACGCTGTTAGAGCATGTGTAGTTTAAAATGCTAAATAGTACAAACCCTTTCTGTGACTCTGTATTGTCATGTTCTTTCTAAGAGTTTCTTTCTCCAGTTGAGAGCTTATCTTCATGGCATAGTTAACATAAATGTAGTTGAATAATCATGTTTCATAGACAGTTGGAGAGAGAACTGTGTTTTGACTTACCTTCCAGAACAAAATCACTAAAACTGTGTAGGAAGTTCTATAGTTTCAGCAAAACTATAGAAGTATTGTTTCACTGGTGTGATTTGCTGGTTGTTTGCCGTGTGTAGACAAGCTCTTAGTTTAATCTGTCGGAGAGTGCATTTTCTACAAAGCCAAACAAATTTTTATCAGAGTACCAGTGTAAGACTTTGCTATTTTATCTAAATCTGTTTCACACTGTGGGTTTAATCAAAGCATTTCATGCAGGCAAACTCAAAACTGTGCCTTTGTACAGAGTGATGTATTTTGAACAGATTGATGGGGATACATGTTAGAGGTTCTTTTGTAAAACATCAGACATCTGTGTAAGAACACAGACTCTAAATTCACTTTGTGCTTTTGTTGTAGATGTGATACTACAGAAAAATTGAGAAATTCTCTGGATTACTTGAGATCTTTGTTAAATGAGCCTACCAATTTTAAACTTATTTATAGATACGCATTTGACTTTGCACGGGTAAGTACTGTGGAAGACCAGCATCTGAAATTAAAACTTCGCTTCCGTAAGTAATAATTGAAAGACTGTATACTTCTAGGTATGTTTCTCTTAAGATACCACTCAAGATTGCTTCTAACAAGTGGAACTGTTCGTGTTCTAAAAAAGTATATGCAAAATGTCAGAACTGGAAAAGAAAAGTATATAGGATGCTTGATGTTCGGTGGTTTAGTTTAGACATGTTTTGTTACCTCTGCTTCAAGCTATTTTGTGACTTCAGGGAAATCATTTAGGCTCTATTCTGTTGCATATTGGAGCTTTGCCACTTAGTTCCACTGCCTTTATAATTACCCTGGTTTTTCTTACTGTTTGGATTTTGTGAGCATAAACATATTTAAAGCAGGAAGGCACTTGAGGCATTTCTGCAGGTGGTAAAAATAACTAACATGATAAAAGCTGGATATGGTATAATATAAGTATTGATTCAGAAGGCTGTTGGAAGGTCTTTAATGATGTTCTCAATATTTATTAAACAATGCCCTCATATCAGTCTTCCTGCTATGAAATATGTATTGCTAAAATTGTACCTGATATTGGAACCCAGAATATGCATAAAACTATTACTACTTAAAGAGAACAATAAAAGAACTTTAATTTTCTGAATTAATGTTTTGACATGGAATTTGGACATCCATCTTGCTAACATGATGGAAGGTACAGAAGATTTAACATAAAAATGATCACAGGCAAAACTGATGCTCAGATTTTGGTGCAGGGGAACCAAAAGCACCAAGAAAATTTGCAGGAAAAAAAAAGTAACATGAGAAAAAATAATAAGAAGAAATTGAACTGATAGCAATTCTGATAGTTAAGTCTGTCATAAGTAACTCAAGATTTGTGGTACATCGGTGCTTTCTCCACGTTGACATGCGGAGATTCACGGTAGTTCACTTTTAACCAAGGAAGCCTACAGCTGAATATGACAAGAGTGCATGGTATTAGTTAGTATGAGAGGGGAAAAAAAGCCGTATCAGCATCTTAGTTCCCCCTTTCCTGTGTGAGGATTTATTCTGCCAGTTTTGCTCAACGTAAAATGCAAAGGCTAGAAATAACTAGCATTACCAAAGAAGTTCAAGATACTGATGAAATATTTGGGATAGATAGCAAATCTGTGCCAGCCAATGGCCTGTCAAAAGTAAGTGCAGAAACTTAAAAAGAGGATAGTGAATGGAGTTTTTTCGAGAGGTACCAAATTGACGTGACAGACAGTGGTCTTGAAAAAGAATTTAAACATTGAGACACAGATGCTGTGATACCATTTGTGACAAAACTGCAAGATTGTAGAACTGCAAGTTGAAGGCATATCAACAGGGGAATTGTCAAAACAATATTAGATTAATAGAATTATTGAACTTCTAATACTGTGGAGCCAGAGGAAGTCTATAGGAGAATGGTGTCCAGTAAGAATAAAAATGAATGCTGACAAAGGCT